TCTTAACAACCACTGTGTGCTACAGTGGAATGTTTAGAAGTAAAAGTCATGATGAATCCTAAGTTTTTCAAGCCTGAATGACTTAGCAAATGTTAATGCCATTGATGAATTACATGCATCAAATAGGAGTATTATTAGCCTGTGGGAAAGAAGATACCTTTGGTTTTTTTATACATTTTGTTTAAGGTGACAAGGATGCATCTGAGTAGAAGGTTCCATGGTAAATTACAACAGGACAAGCTTGGGAAAGATATGGCTGCCAGTTTTTTTTCTTTCAGCCCTTGAAAATGTTGTACCATTTCCTTCTGTCCTCCATGATTTCAGATGCGAAATCTGTTCTTATTTGAATTGGTGTTTGCCTATAATTAAGGCATGCATCATTTCTCTCTGATTGCTCTTAAGATTTTTTTGTTAGTTTCCAGAAGTTTAATTATGCTGTTTTGATGAGCATTTCTTTAGATTTATCTTAGTTCAAGTTCACATAGCCCTTGAATCTGTAGTTTTCATCTTTTGCCAAATGGAAGTTTTCAGCCATTATTTCTTTGAATATTTGTTTAGCCCCACAATCTTGCTCATCTCCTTCTGGGATTCTGATGATAGCCATGTCGATATCTTTTATTACTGTTTCACAGATTCCTTTTCTTCCCCCAGTCTCTTTCCTCTATGTTTGTCAGATTGAGTACATTTGATTGATCTGTTCTCAGTTCAGTGATCCCATCTTTTGTTATCTCCACTCTACCACTGAACCCATCCAGTGAGGGTTTTTTTGTCTGTTTTTTGTGGTTGTGCTTTCAGTTCTGTAATTTCCACCTGGTTCTTTTTTATAACTTCTATTTCTTTGATGAGGTTTTATAGTTTTTCATATGGTTCAAGGGATTTCATAATTATTGGTTGAAACCATTTTAAAATGCGTGGCTCAGTCAGCTAAGCGTCTGACTTCAGCCCAGGCCATGATCTTGCAGTCTGTGGGTTCCAGGCCCGTGTAGGGATCTGTGCTGACAGCTCAGAGCCTGGAGCCTGCTTCAGATTCTATATCTCCCTCTCTCTCTACCCCTCCCCAGCTCATGCTCTGTCTCTCAAAAAAAATAAAAATGTGAAAAAAATAAAATAAAATCTCTGCCAGATAGTTTCAACATCTGATTCACCTCACTGTTGGTGTCAGTTGACTATCTTGTCTCACTCATATTGTGATTTTCCTGGTTCTTGGTAAGACAAGTGATTTTTTACTGTGTTCTGAACTTTTGCATATTACGTTAGGAGACCCTTAATCTTTCTTTTTTTTTTTTTTATTTTAGTGTTTATTTATTTTTGAAGGAGAGAGAGACAGAGGTGAGTGGGTGAGGGGCAGAGAGAGAGGGGGACACAGAATCCAAAGCAGACTCCAGGGTCTGCACTGTCAGCACAGAGCCCAATGCAGGGTTTGAACTCACAAGCCATGAGGTTATGACCTGAGCTGAAGTTGGACACTTAACTGACTGAGCCATCCAGGCATCCTAGGAGACTCTTAATCTTATATAAATCTTCTATTTTATTATTTTTTTTATTTTTTTTTTCAACATTTTTTTTATTTATTTTTGGGACAGACAGAGACAGAGCATGAACGGGGGAGGGGCAGAGAGAGAGGGAGACACAGAATCGGAAACAGGCTCCAGGCTCCGAGCCATCAGCCCAGAGCTTGACGCGGGGCTCGAACTCACGGACCGCGAGATCGTGACCTGGCTGAAGTCGGACGCTTAACCGACTGCGCCACCCAGGTGCCCCTAAATCTTCTATTTTAGTAGGCAGCCACCCTGTTTTTGTTTTTAAGGTTTACTTTTGTAGTCTATAGTTTCAATGACAACTTTCTGAGCCCTTGCAATGCTGTTCTGGTCTACTATGTTCTGGCTTTGTTTAAGCTCCCACCAGATCCCTGCATGTGATGCCTACATAGGTATCCTTGGGCAGATGTAGGGGGTGCCCTAAGTCACCCCCTAAGTCTGTCATTGCATGGAGGGCTGGGAGACACTGGGCCTGAAGCCACTACTAGTGCAGCTGCATGTATCTATATCATTCATTTTTTATTCTAGAATTTTATGATTTTTATCTTTTTACCTTAAAAAAATTTGGGGGGGACACCTGGGTGGTTCAGTCAGTGAAGTGTCCAACATCAGCTCAGGTCATGATCTCGTGGCTTGCAAATTTGAGCCCCGAGTCAGGCTCTGTGATGGCAGCTCAGCACAGCGAGATTCTGTGTCTCGCTCTCTGTCTCTCTCTCTCTCTGCCCCTCCCCAGCTCACACCCTCTCTCCCTCTCTCTCAGGGGCAGAGAAAGAGAGAGAGAGAGAGAGAGAGAGAGAGAGAGAGAGAGAGAGAGAATCCAAAGCAGGCTCCACACTGCCACAGTAGAGCCCCATACAGGGCTCAAACCCATGAATCGTGCAATCATGACCTGAGCTAAAATCAAGAGTTGGAAGCTTAACCAACTGAGCCACTCAGGTGCCCCTTAATTTAAAATTTTAATCCACCTAAAATTCATTTGGATATCAAGAATGAGGCGAAGAATTTAGCCTTTTTTTTACTCTCCTCCCCCAGTTGGGGAGCCAATTATTCTAAAACCATTTGCTAAGGGGCACCTGGGTGGCTCAGTCAGTTTAGCATCCAACTTCGGCTCAGGTCATGATCTCGCGGCTCATGAATTCAAGCCCTGCATCGGCTCCCCACTGACAGTGCAGAGCCTGCTTGGGCTTCTCTCTCAGCCTCTCCCCGACTTGCATGCTCTCTTTCTCAAAATAATAAATAAATAAACTAAAAAAAAAAAAAAATTAAAACCATTTGCTAAAAACTCCACCTTCCCTTGCAAATTTGAAATGTTACCTTCATCAAATACTCCATTTACATGTACATTTAGGTCTATGGGCTGAATGCTTTTTCTTTGATTTGTCTACTTTGGTTTTGTTGCTGCTTTAGTTACTGTAAAAACATCTCCATATTTGACAAGGCTAGTCCCTTCTCTTTAATTTGCTGGCTATTCACATCTGTTTGCTTTTTAAAAGGGTTTGCAACACACCTGCAGGGTAAAGAGAGGCAAAGGATAGGGCACCTGGGTGGCTCAGTTGGTTAAGCAACCAGCTCTTGATTTTTATTAAGGTCATGATCTCACTGTTCATGGGATCGAGCCCCGAGTTGGGCTCTGCGCTGTGTGAGGAGCCTGCTTGGGATTCTCTTTGGGCCCCTTCCCTGCTCATTCTCGCTCTCTCAATAAATAAACATTAAAAAAAAAAAAAAAACTTAAAAACTAAATAGAGGCAAAGGAAGATGTGGGTTGACCTGATGGAAGCTTCCTGCAGTATTCCCGGAGAGAGACGGGGGATACAGAAGGTAGAATAGATTCGCTCTCCCCTTATATCCCAAATTTCAGTCATTTCCTGGTATACCACCTTTATAATTTTTGACATATCTGTATATTGTCGACAGCATTAACTTTTTCACTAATTCACTTTAAAATTTTAAATATATTAGGCTTGTCCTACATGCTGTCTGTAAAAGCACAGATTCAACGCGGTAGTTATATATTTTTCTAACACATTAAACAAAGTAGATAACCATGAAGATAAACATTGTTCGTCCATGTGGCACCTACAGTTATTTTGTATACTACCAGCAGCTCTGGAAACAAGTAGTTTGAGCAAACCATCCCCATCTGTTCTCCAGATGAAAATTCTTTCTCAGCAAGGAGCCACCTGGGCTGGCTGGTGATCTCCATATTGTCTTGTGCTAATTGCTGGTAATAAGATCTACGGCATGTGTTCTCACGTAAGTCACGTAAAGAAATGACTAGTGAAGTGAGTAACAGTCATACACATGCAAGACACTGGTAGCAGTTTCTCTTCTTTGGAGTTCTGATGTTCCTGCGAGCAAATCCTCCCTCGCAGAGACCTCTGAAAAGGGCCACAGATGATATCATAGGCCAGTGAGAATGTTCACGGGATGATAAGACGGTGAAGTGATCAGGAGGGCAGAGACAGATAATAATGCCAAAGGCCAGAGCCTTAACACCCTTATCTCTTAGTCTTTATTAAAGGTAAACAGGGATAAATGGAAAATGCCATCCCAACGTTGTGAAGATCAAATTAGAGAGCGAGACTGCAGGGAATCAAATATCTTGTACTGACCTGTCACAAGCACTTACTCAGATACAAGCAAACACACACCACACTCTTTTCTTCCTCTTTTTTTTTTTTTTTCCTTCCCCCTAAGGTGATTCTGGCTTCCAGGTTTCTAAATGCTCTGGTTTCAGGATCTACCTCTTTTTACTGAGCACCCTCAGCACTGATAATAATAAAGGTTACAAAATTACCAATACTAAAATCTCGGTGCCAAACAGAAGCGGCTGCTTCCGGCATGGAGATTGGAATAGCTTCCATCTTCTGTGTTATAAAAACAGTATAAAATAATCCAGTTTCCTTCTGTTGGTGGCCATGCAAACTAATCTCCAATATTCCTTTCAGTGAATGAATAATTCTGAAATCTACAGCATTCTTCAGCTGCGTCTATTAATTTGCTCCACCTTAAAAAACAATAAAACTACAGACCTTAAAATTCAACCTGCACATTTTCAATTGTAAGGCCCACTGGTTTACGAGTAATTTGGGGGTGTTGCATAGGAGAAGCTCCTGGGGAGAGACTCACATGATTGCTTGTCAGAGGAAAACGCCGAGTCTTGTTTCCTTCAGTATCTCTCAGAGACCTCCCCATTTCCTAGTTCCTATCATTTAGGTCTCTTCCAAGGGGCTTCTGCACTGCAGTGTGAAACACTGTTTCTTACCTCTGCTCTTCCCGGCACTGGAAGCCTTGGTATGTAATCCCTGACCTTTCAAGCAAAATCCCCACTCTTGCTCGGAGAGTCCCCAAGAGACCTGCCTGAGAGGGCTCACTCACTCTTCATGCGTGCCTCGAGGCCTATCCGTTTGCAAAATCCGCTTTCTGGCAAGCTTATGGAGCCTTAGGCCAATGAAATTTCACCTCGAGTTTCTCAAAATCTAACTGCACAGTGTTGCCAGCCTCATCTTGTTGTTCCCCCAAACAAACGATAGCCCTCTTTCTGCCAATGTAATTTATTTGAAGGGCTGTCGAGGCAGGGATTAGCACGAGGCCTCCAGTTACAGCTTCCAAGAGCTCGGTGCCAGGTGACGTCATTCTACCACCCGAGTCTCAAAGGGGGGTTTCAGGACACGGCCGGCTGTGGAGCAGGGCCTCTGCCGGCGCAAGGCAGCGCCGGCTATTTAAAGCCACTCCCTGGCGGAGCAAGGACGGGACAGGGGTGAGGGGCCAACTGTTCAGAGGGTGACAGAGGGTACAGGCAGAAGGCAAAAATGACAGGGAGGAGTCCACTTGGGCAAAGGATTCCTTACTCTCTTCCACCACAAACTGCCAAGGCCGCGTCCCGTCAGCCTCGCGGCGCGTCCTTCGGTAGGTGGCGCACATTTGTTTTCTTCACACCTTCCACACTGGCAATCTGGTGGAGACCGAGAGCCCCGCCCCCCCTTCTTTGAATTTGCAAATCTTAGCTCTTATTTTAGATGATCCAAATGTTCCTTCCACACCCTGTTAGAATGACAAAACAGGGAATTCTGGCTTTGGAGAGGCAAGGGTATGAGGAAGATGTGATGCACTTTTGGGAACCGTATTTAAATCTTTATGTTATTTTGGGAAATACATGCGCAGTCACATGGTCTCAGTTCTACAACTTGGTATAATTCTTATACTTGCTTTGGCGCAGAGCTTTAAATCCTTTAAAAAACTCATGTAACAAAGAAAGCCTGTTCCCTTAGGTTGGGTTCTCCCAGAAGTAGACTCTGAGTCAAGGATCCAGGTACAAGAGATATATTAAGGAAAGGCCCCTGGGAGACACCAGTAGATGAATGGGAGGACAGGGAAACGGCAGGTGCTGAGCGAGGGAGTGATTTCGTGTGAAGTCCCAGTCTTGGCCTGATCCAGAGGGGAGCTCTGGAGAGTAATTTATGCCTCAGAGCATGTCCTTCCTTCCTTGGGGCAAGGAAGATGTGCTTCTGGGCTCCACAATCAGTCAGTCACTGGCCTTAAGTCAAAGGGAGTGGTAGGGTGGGGTGGGAGGTGGTGTGGACACAGGGGCCAGACACACAGGGGGCTGGACACACAGAGCCGGCAAGAGGCGCTGGAGGGGAAGTGGGTGTGCTCTAACAGCGTTGGCCACCGGACCACCCTCCACACTGCCTGCTCTTACCACCAGGCACTACTTAGAGGTCTTTCATCACATTCTGCTGCAAGAGGAAATGAATGATATCTTTTGAAAGTCCCGGGGTTGGCTTTTCATCATCCAGAGACACACTTCCTTCTCCCGATGGGTAGAAGTGGACATCCCTGGCATGCCTCTGTAAGACCGAGCAGCCATCCCGGTTGAAGATGACCCGGGCCATTTGGAAACTGCGGAGGGCATACTTTCGGCTCTCCTGGCCCTTCAGTTCGTTGATTTTCTGAGACAGGCACTGGCAGACTGCTGCGGAGAGTGCATTTCCAGAGGCCAGCTGTGGACAGCCAAACACTTCATAGAATCTATCCAGGGATTTCCGAAGCCCATCATCCTCTGCCTTGGTCTTCACCTGGCCCTTCACAGAAGGGTCCAGCCAGAAGTTCTCAGAGGTCCAGGAATCATTTTGTTCAGAATTTAGGTTACTGGTATCTGCAAGACAAAACATATTCCAGTACTTGAACACACATTCAAAAAGGCCAGAAGCAGATGATGTCTCTTCAAGTCACCTGCTGCTCCTGGGTGACTGGCACTGGGCAGGACTGGCCGATTTTGGAATTGATCCCCACCATCCTGGGGGTTATGCCACTTGTTTGCTCCAAACAAGAACATCTTATGTGCATGTTTCAGGAGTTCTTATCTATGGTCTTTGTACAGAAGTTCAGGGTAGTTGTGAATTTGGGTAGGGAGAAAACTTGTATCTTTATTTTCACTAACCTCAATCAGAAATTAAGCATTCCCTTCCATAATAAATGTAAGCAACAAACCTACTAGCAGCAGTACGTATGACTTTGTTGCCAATAGCTCACAGCTATTTTCATACCACATTACAGTCTGCAGAAGATGTTTCAAAATATCATTTATGCCATCACTATGCTCTGGACTGAAGTGTGGCCTCCAAAATTCACTGTTGAAGCCCTAGTCCCTAACGTGACTGGATCTGGAGATGGGGCATTTAGGAGGTTACTAAGGTTAAATGAGGTCATAAGGGGTGGGTGCCTAATCTGAGAGGAGTGGTGGCCTTATAAAAAGAGGGAGAGATCTCTCTCACTTTTTCTCTCTCTCTTGTCTGTCCAGGTGCAAGACTGGGGAAAGGCAATGAGAGGACACAATGAGAAGGTGGCCTTCTCTAAGCCAGGAAGCCCTTCCCAGACCTCAACCATGCTGGCACCATGATCTCAGACTTCCAGTCTCTGGAACTCTGAGACAATAAATTTCTGTTGTTTAGGCCACCCGGTCTATGGTATTTTGTTATGGTGGCCCAAGTAGACCAAGACACAGTTATTGGTCCTGATACTAGAACTTATTATTTAAACATTAATTAAAAAATATTCATTATAATATTGTAAATTTGTTCTTTAACTAACTTAATAACTACATTTCAATATTTTTCCCTTGATCATCCCATACATTTCAATTTTTTCACTTAAAACATTATTTAAGAAAGGGTGGGAAGGCTTCACCAGATGCCAAAAGGATCCATGGCACAGATACAGTAAAGACCCCTAATGTAGACAGTGCTGGGCATTTACACAGTTCAGACATTTTCTTTTTCTACTCCTTACAGTAATCCTATGGACTCTTTATCTCTCAATTAAAATCACCACCTAGGGGCGCCTGGGTGGCGCAGTCGGTTAAGCGTCCGACTTCAGCCAGGTCACGATCTCGCGGTCTGGGAGTTCGAGCCCCGCGTCGGGCTCTGAGCTGATGGCTCAGAGCCTGGAGCCTGTTTCCGATTCTGTGTCTCCCTCTCTCTCTGCCCCTCCCCCGTTCATGCTCTGTCTCTCTCTGTCCCAAAAATAAAATAAAATAAAAAAAAAAAAATAAATTAAAAAAAAAAATAAAATCACCACCTTTCTGTTTTTTAAAGGAGTAACAAATAAACTAAGTGATTTAATAATAGACAATAAGAAGCCAGAAATGGAGCCAAATCCTAGTCCTTGATCTAACTTTCTGTACCTCTTTGGAAACCTTAATTCTTTTTTTTTGTTATGTTTATTTATTTTTGAGAGCGAGAGAGAGAGAGTGTACATGCACATGTGTGCAAGCATGAGCGGGGGAGGAGCAGAGAGAGAGGGAGACAGAGAATCCCAAGCTGACAATGTGTTCTAGAAAAGATTCCCCACAAATAATTTACAGAATTCCTTATACACCAACCAGTTTTAATTTTTAAAATTGTATACATTAAATCAAAATATATTTTCCTTTTTTGCTCTGATAGAAGCTTTAATAAATTACTAGCTTTAATTCCACACATACACCCCTCACCCCATTAACTCAACTAGTAGCTATGATAAAAATATTTGCACTCACTAACGATTAAAAAAGTTGTGTGATGCAGTGGATGGTTATAGAAAAAGAGAAGAGATTTATGGTTTTGACTCCAGTTTTGCTACCAGCTAGACACCATACCACCTTGCTGAGCTTTGGAGTTCTCATCTACAAGAGTTTTAGTAAATGATCTCTCTTCTAGAACGTCTATGGTAAGACAAGGAACAGAGGAGTAGTTAATCCAAAGCACCCAAGAAGGATGTGGACACATGGTGTGAGACACACGCAGCCCACACATGGACGAGCATTCACTGGTCCACCACACAAGTAGCCCAAAAACAAAGCACTCAGCCACCTTGAAGAATGGTGATTCCAGGCTGATTAAGGACAGTACAAGATGGGCCTGGTGCATCTTACTATCTAGAATGCTCAAATATTGATGGAGGCTTGTCAAGGGGGAGCAGAGGCCAGCTCCAAAGGGATCACCTGGCCACATCTGGAACAACTTAAGCATCAAAATAAATTATGAGAGTACCTGTAACTGATGGTAGCCCAGTTATTAAAATATAAAACCATAAATCCATAAAATAATTGCAAGTTTGCTGAGGAACAGTCTCAGAGCACTTCCCCATAAAATACTTACTAGTTACAAATGGGAAAAAAATAACTTCAGAGTGGAGAATCATGGCACATATCACCTTAATCAAGTGACCTAAGTGAGTATCACCAGTAATGGGACAAATCGAAACCCTGTTGCCACCTGACCAGATGCAGGAGGAAGACCCAATACCACTTCTCTGATAGTCCTGCCGAAGGTGCAGCCCCTGAACCCAATTATGAGGGAGCGACAGATAAAACCAAACCGACAGATGTTCTACAAACTGACTGGCCTGTACTCTTCAGAAGTGCCATGGTCATGAAAACCCAGAAAAGACGGAGCAAAAGACGGTACACTGAAGAGTACCAAAGAGTCTTGACAACTAAAAGCAACACATGATTTTCAACTAGATCTTTTTGCTATAAAGAACGTTACTGGGATCGCCTGAGTGGGGCCTGAGGATTAGATGGTAGTAATGTACCCTGTGAACTTCCTCATTTTGATAGTTTCATTCGGTTATGTAGGAGAATGTCCTTGTTTATTGGAAAATCAGGGGTGGTGGGCATCGGGCTGGCAACTTACTCTCAAATAATTCCAGAAAATAAAAAATTCTTTGTATTATACTTGCAAATTTTCTATGAGTTTGAGATTCTTTCAAGAAAAATAATTAAATAATTACAGAATTATTTAATTAAGTCATTAAATTCCTCCTCTGGAAGAATAACTGTTAAATTTTCCTTTGGTGGCCTACTTTAATACTAACACAAACAAACAAAAGCCTTAGCCCAGGGCTTGGTGAACAGTACTTGCCTAATAAACAGTACTATTGGAGAGCCAAGGGGAGAAGGGGGTGGGCAAGGGGTCCCACAATGGCTAGATGAGGTGTCCCTTCCCACTTGCTTCCACAAAGATGATCTGGTCCTGGGTAAGTAAGGCAGGAAGACAGGGGCTGAGAAAGGTCAATGGGAAGAGTGAAAGAGAGAGGGAAGGTCCTCAGCAGTAACACTGAAAAGGCTGGAGAGTTCCTGAAACTGCCCACCGAGGTAGCCATTTATACAGAACCCTCCAAGTAGCATAGCATGTACTTATTAAGGAACTGGTCAATAACTTTGATTTGAGCCTAAAGAGCCTAAAAAACTAGTGTGGCTCCTCTGCTTTTCATGTAAATATCAAGCAGATTGCAACTCATCTTAAAGAAACCCTCCTTCCCTTTTCCAGAAAAGCAATGACGACATGGGTTGAGTTATTTACCATATCAGTTCTTTTGAACACTGTCTCCAGCTCATTTCAATCTTTGATTTCCTTTTAAAATCTGCTTTACCAACAACAACAAAGCCATCTCTCTAATCATGTGGCTGTCGTGGCCTTTCTGATACCTGGGATTTCTTTTCCAGCAAATAGAGCTAATCGTTTTTCTTTTCCTCATGAACCTACATGTGTACAGAATGATGATCTTTGATAACTCAGTTCCTGCTCAGTGGTGCCTCACAGTTATGTTCAAACTTCAATCTTACATTAATAGTTCAAACTTACATTAAAGTTCAAACTTTAATCTTACATTAATATAGGCCAGACTTGTAAGGCTCTCAACTTGGGATGGTAATATCTACTCTAGGGACAGTCTGGGGATGTTTTTGTGTTAGTGATTGGAAAATGGTTGTACTTAATGAGTGGGATCAAGGATGGAAACATCCTGTAATGCACAGAACAATCCCATACAACAAAGAGTCATCCTCCCCAAAAATCACAATTATGCCTCCTATCCCTTGAGAGGAACAGTGGCTCAAAGGATGGATTCTGGAAAGAGTGGGAAGTGAATGGTGAATCCCACTGCATTGTAATATATTGAATTGCGTTGGGCTTCCCAAGGCACCTTTGCTATTGATCCCTGCACAATCAATGCCTTTCTTGCTGGCATCCGTTTGTACCATGCATTCCTCCCTTCTCAGACCTCGAGATGGCATTTTATTTTTCTCAGCAAGGGCCCCAGTCCCAATCATTTTGGCATTGTCTAAATTGAGTGGAATTTCCCTTTTTGTTCCCTTTTTGTTCCAATTTCTTTAGGAATTGACAAGAAGAAAGGGAGGAAGGTGGCACTTGGTATGGCCATACTTTTGCATGCATTTTCAAGGTCACCTATCTACCAGAGCATCCATTTGTTAAATTCTCTTTTGATGAGAGAGAAAACAGATAACATAGCTGTTTAAGATTCTTACAAATCTAAAGCCATTTTTATATGTTTAGGAGTCATAGATGGCAATTCTAGGCAATCAATTTGCATGAGGATTTGAGATGAATGGTTGCATTCTGTGAGATGCCATCAGCTTTTAGAAACCCAGATGTTTAATGGGGGTTTCTTCCAGAGAATCTTCCACGACTACTTCTGTGGTTGATAAATGCGCAGCAGGATTTTATCTCTGTGAAACATTTAGCTTTCAACTTTAACAAGTTTTTTCCTAAATGGATTTGATATTTTGAATTCTGTCTCCCTCATGCATCAGCCTCAATAGCCGCCCACTCTGCCTTATTTGTTCAGACTCTCTTTTACTAGTGACTACTAATT